CCATGGGCTCAGGTCTTGACTAAGCCATTGAAGGGGATCTAGAATGAGTACCTAGCATTGCCTCAGTGCTTGCCTTCTGGAAGTTTCTCACCCATCCAGGAAAATAGATCCATGTGTAGTCTACAAATAACACTACCCTGAATCAACTGTTTACTATATTAGTCTGCCCAAACTGCTGTTGATATAGCAAAATGCCACAGGCCGGTGTCTTAAACAAGCAGAAATGTATTACTTCACAGTTCTGGTGCCAGCATGGTCAGATCCTTCAGAGAACTCAGACTCCTTGGCTTGCAGACAGCTCTCTTCTCACATGACCAGTGGAGACCTAGACGGCACTGACCTCATCTTCTAATCCTATCAGGAGGCCTCTACTGGTGTGACCTCACCTAAACCTAATTCTGTCCTCAGACCTATGCTGTTCAAATACCATGGCTGTCATGCTTAGGACTTCCAGATGTGAATTATGGGAGCCATAATTCAGCTCATAGCATCTGTCATGGGCTAAGCTGATAAAACCATCATCTTAATCCTTACACCAGCTCCCTTCAGGCCCATTGCCCGCCTTCACAGAGGAGGAAAGAGCAGCTTAGAGAGGCTCAGGACCTGCTGGAAGCCACACAGCTGGAGACCGGCCCAGTGGGGTGTGATCCTGAGGCCACTGTGGCCCCAGTAAACTTCTGCCCACTCTCCTGCTAGCCCAGCCCGACACTCCTGGAAGCCCATGGTGGGCAATGTCGGCTCCCAACGAAGTCCCGGCTTCTAAGCCCCTTCCTGGCCCAGCAAGGCCCTAAATGAGTTGACCAAGGAAGCCTGTGAATGGCCTTTGAGCAGAAAAAGGTGCATCGGGAGAGATTTAGCAAAGAGAAGAGAACCGACTCATCTGCAGTCGGGGGAGCGGGAGGGGTGGGGAGCTGCCAGCCAAGCTGCACGCTTCACACAAAAATGGCTTCAAAAAGAAAAGGCCATCAATGTTTAATGCTTCCACTCGCCAGGGTGGAGGACTCAGCACACTCCTGCCCTCCCCTCACCCCACCCCCACCCCCTCCCGCAGAGGAAAATGCAAAATGAAGTTGCTAAATGGCTACCCTCGCCACTCTTGGCTCTACAGTGGCATCCTGACTGACACTGAATGTACCCCTGGGCTATGTCACATTCTAAGACCCCCCCCCAAGGCAGTATGGGAGAACAAACGGTGCTCCCCCCAATACCAGGAAATTCAAAGTGTATTTGTACATCTTCACACAAGCCCACAACTACTAAAATTAAGTCATTTTTGTTTATTTGTTTTCTGGATCCTCTGTCTTCAAACACCAGACCTGTCTAGTTTCCCAACTCCCTCTTTGCTGGGCATCTGATGCCCACTGGCTGTACCCGAGGCCACCCAGTATCCCCTAAGCACGGGTTGCCTAAAGGGGCTCAAAGGCTGTGCAAAGTCTTAGGTCCTCGGAGTTCTGCGTGGAAAAGACGGACTCCATGGAGACAGTCACCCTCTGAGCTGAGTGGGGGCAACAGCGGGTGTCAGCAAAACATTCGGCCATGGGTCATCTGTGCTTGATCAGCTCCATTGAGAACGCAGAGCTGGGGACAGGGAGGAGAAGCAGAGAGAGAGGGGTTTGTACTGGAGCTCTGGAGAGATTACACCCTGGGGTCAGGATGCTCTTGTAACGTGACCAGCCCCCCGGGCGCAGGCAGCAGGTCTCAGTTTACCCCGGTGGCCTAGACATCAGATCATTCCAGCTCAGTGCGTGTCTCTGAGCTGCAGATTCCTCATCTGCCCCAGAGGGCTTTAAAAGTTTCTCTCAGCTCCGGCCACTGGCTTGGAGTTCAGGGCATGAGATTCATGACACCTGGCTTTTCCATCTCCCTGCTGTGTGAACAAATGACCCTTTGTGTCTAGTCCGGTGTGCTTATCTATACAGTGGGAGTGAGGGTTGTGCCCACCCCGTGGATTAGTGTGAAGATGACCTTGCCAGCCCGCTTTTGTTGTCTGTGACAGACTAGCTGTCAGAGGTGACTTAAGGGCAGAAGGATTTCTTTGGCTCACAGTTGAAAGATTACAGTCCAACATGGTGAGGAAGCCAGCTTGACAGCCGGGGCTCAGCAGAGGCAATGGGAGCTTTGTGGCATGACTTGTCACATCTCAGTGTATCAGAAAGCAGAGAACTCACCGGAAGCAGGGCTGAGCCGTAGATCTCGCCTTAGCTCTCAGGAGCCCTCCTCCGGTGACCCACATCCACCAGCCACGCCTCCCACACCACGCCAGCCTGAAGGCAGGTCTCCAGGAGAGGGCCACGGAGATAGTGGCCCTCTCTGAAGAGGAGCTGCAGTCACTTTTACCAGTGGGGTCAGCACACTCTGTGATTTCCACATCTGGATGTTTCTGCACACCCGGGGAGAGCCTTCCTAAAACCATAAACCTGAGGCTGGGACTTGGAGGTGCAGCGTCCTGCCCAGCTCAGGGGTCCCAGTTCCAGTCATGTGTCAGCCTCATGGATTCACCCAAAAGGGGCCACCTGCTGAGCTGGGACAGAGGGAGGTGGCAGAACCTCAGGAGCCAGGCTAGGAAACATGTGACCCTCAGACAGGGCTCCCAAACTTTCCCAAGTTGTCATGTGTGTGTCCCCCCCATCTGCATTCTCTTTGTTTCCTGTCGTTCACCTGTGAATCTACCTCCTTCTCTTTGTGTTTGAAGGTGAGATGGCCTGGAGATATATCCCGGTTGGTAGAGTGCTTGCCTGGCATGCACAAGGCCCTGGCTTGAGCACCAATACCACAGAAACTGGGCAAGGTGGCACATGCCAGTAACCCCAGCACTTGGGAGGCAGAGACAAAGAGGGTAAGAATTTCGAGGACTCCTTGGCTACAGAGCACGTTTGAGGCCAGCTTGGGCTACATGAGACAGTGTCAAGAAAGAAAAGGGGGGAGGGGGGAACATAACAGAAAATCTTTATTTCCTGTCTCTGGAAAGGAGAAAAACTGGAAACAGCGCAAAGCAACGCTTCCGTCCAGCTCGTGGCCTCGTCACCCTCCAGGCTGCTCCCTCCGGGTGCTGCAGAGCTCTATGCAAACAGCTGAAAGGTGCAAAGACTCCTCGGCCCCATGCACAGCTGCATGGTCCCAGTTGCGAGGGTAGATGACAATAGAAAAAGAAGTAACTTCTCAAGCTGGTCTCCAGTCTGGGAACCAGTCAGAAGTGGCTGGGGTCATGGGGGGGGTAGATAGGTAGGACTTGCCACTAAAGTGCTTGCTTGGGAGGTGGGTGGGCTCTGTGGGAGTTCCTTCTGGTGTCCTCCGACAGCTTCCTGAGTTCTTCATGTTGGGCCCCAAAGTTTAGGGTCTCAAGTGGGCGCCCCAAGAACCCAGACTCCAGTCCAGTTGATGCAACAGCACGAGGAATTTATTGAAGCTTCTGTACAGAAGGGCAAACTCTGCTCCCAAGAGCAAGAGTCGCATCTTACTGCAGCCCCATGGGGGCTTTTAAAGGAAAAACCCACAATATTACAATTCCCATACAATTTCATGGCCTGATCACAGGGTGATCACAGAGTGGGTACAGTCACGTCCGCATGTACATTCTTCTGAAACTTCAAGGGGCGTATCAGGGCAGGAGTGGAGTTTACACAAAGGTCACAGTGGTCCTTCCTGGAACACTTGCAACTATCCCAGTCACAGTTGAGCACATCTCTTAACAGAGATCTCTTTACATTGTTACATTGTTACAGGGGTGATTGAGTGATGGCTGAGTCAGGTGGCCCTTGGAACTAGTTTTCTTTTTAGTTCCTTATTTCTTGGGGCTTGGGGGTATAAGCCTGAAGGGTTAGGGTCTTTCATTCACATCTGATGGTGTTGGTGGCTGCCTTATCAGTGTGAGACAGGAAAGTTGTGAGGCCAGTGACTTGTGAGGTCCTCTGCCCTTACCTGGTAATGCCTTCTGGTCTTGAGCACGCATACATCTAGTGAGCCTATTGCCCACTGTGCTCTCTCTCTCTCTCTCTCTCTCTCTCTCTCTCTCTCTCTCTCTTTCTTTCTCTGTGTGTGTGTGTGTGTATGTGTGTGTGTGTGTGTGTCTGTCTGTCTGTCTCTCTCTCTCTCACACACACAAGTAGATGAATTTCTAAACAGTCTTATTAAATAAGAAACACGGAGCCAGATATAGGGGTGAAAACCTGAGAGATCAGGGAAATAGGGAAATCCACAACCAACCTCACCTCACCAACTCCACAGCTTCCAAAGCGAGCTACTTCCTGTCTACCCACACCTATATGCTTTTCTGTTCTGTTCTCTCATTTACTCTCTCAGCCCAGCTGTATCACTTCCTCTTCCTACCCAGCTCTGTTACTTCCTGTCTGTACAGACCTCCAGACCTCTATGGTTGGTGCTGGGATTAAAGACCTGTGTCACCATGCCTGACTCTGTTCCCTGGTGTGGCCTTGAACTCACAGAGATCCAGACAGATCCCTGCTTGCCAAGTGATAGGATTAAAGGCATGTGCTACCATTGCCTGACTTCTATATAGTGGCTGGCTTTTTCCTCTGATCTCCAGGCAAATTTTATCGGGAGACACAGTATATTGGGGGACACAATATATCAGCACACCCACACACACACATACACACACACACACACACACACACACACACACACACACACCTACTCCATAGACCTCTCAAGCCACTGTCTAGAGCTTTCGCTCTCCTTCACCCTGGGGGGTATTTCTAGCCCCCAGATAGGAGAAAAGCCCTGAAACCTGAGCAGAAGGCATCCTCCGTGACACGCCTAGAGACAAGCATTAATAGAAGCCTCCCTCAGGCCCAGGACACGTCTGGGCAGCTGCTCCAACTGCCCAGTGTTTCTCAGTCCCAAGGCCAGCCCACTCTGGCTCAGCCAGGCACACTAAACTTAGCTTCCACTCCCAACTCCATAGCCACCATCTAGCCGGCTGTCATCCCTGGGAGACACTGCTGTCCCCTGCCCAGAGCACCCACACCTCAGCGACCATCATGTCACAGACCGAAACACTGAAGGTTCGTGTGACCCTCTTCTTCATCCTGGTGGGGGGAGTGCTGGCCATGGTGGCCGTGGTCACCGACCACTGGGCCTTGCTGAGCCCACACCTGGAGCACCGTAACGAAACTTGTGAGGCAGCCCACTTCGGCCTCTGGAGGATCTGCACCACGCGTGTTGCTGTGCGTGGCACAGAAGACAAGAATTGTGAACACGTCACGCTCTCAGGGGGTAAGGTACCGATTCTCTCTGCCGCTTTGCATTTCTTGTCCTTCCAAGACCCCAAGAGAAGGGGACCAGCCTGTGGGAACAGAGTTGTTACCTGGGGTAGTGTTGACGGCCAGAGCCAAGGTGGAACATGACGGTGTTTGTCTCCAGCTCCAGTTTCTGAGGCCTGGGTTCTTCATCCAGTGCAGGTTGCTAGAGTTAAGAGATTCCCCAAACTGCTGGTTTTCAAAACTTCTGACCCCAGCAGCAGATCCTCTGGGGTGATACTCAGTGGCATCTCGGCTCCATTCTCTCCCTGCACAGACAAGCTGGTGACCCTAAGATCTCAGGCTAGAGGGACCTATGGGGCAGGCTGGCTCCTTCCTCAGCCTCTAGGCAAAAGTATAAACAAGACTACCACCTCGTTTGTCAGGCTCTGCAAAAAGGAAAGACCAGGTTCCTTGTTCTTAAATACTGAGGACTTCAAGTTGGTAATGGTGAGCATGAAATCAAGCATGGGGTACTTAGCAGTCAGGGCGGTGGAGGGGGCTGCCACATGGCTACGAAGCAGATGTGCTGTGGATGCCTTGTTGAGGCCTGTGGTCCTACTCTGTGTTCTCCCTTAGTTCACATCACTCAGATCCTCGGTGTTTCCTTCTGTAAGGATGGAACGGTATTCTTCCATTCTCTACCTATCCCTTGAGAGCAAGTTCCTTGCCTAGGAGCTCAGGCATCAGTGTAATGTGTTTCTATCCAGCCAGCGTAGAGCCTCTGAGATTTAGGGCAAGCAAAGGATGTGTGGTGGGAAAGAGCGCGCTAGGGAGAAAAGAGGCCCAGGCTGTAGCCACTGTTACACATTGCCCTCTTAAAGGACTTTTTCTTCTCGAGCCAGTCTCGAGCTAGCTATCTAGTCAGTTTATGCCATGCTGGGGATGAAACCCAGGGCTTTGCGAATGCTAGGCAAGGACTCTACCACCTGAGTTATACCCTCAGCCCTGTGAAGGACTAGTGAGAGAGGACAAGGCCCATCTCAGCCTCAACATCGCCTGTACAGAAGAGTCACTTCTAAAGCTCACAATGTCTCTAAGGCCCCAGTGGACCACAGCATGTGTGGCTCCCACCCTAATGTTCGGAATGATTCCTTCCACATCCTGCCTGGCCCTTGCCATTCGAGCAGTCAATCCTGGGTCTCAAAGACCCAGCAGTCTGCATGTGGAGCAAAGAGCCTGCCCTCCCTCGCTTCTCCCTCCTCTTCCTCAGCGCTTGCTTCAGGAAATCCAGGCGTCACTCATCACTGCGGGGGAACCAGAGATTTGTAACCACTCAGCTATCTTGGCAACACAGAGTCTCGGGGTGGAGGGCTTTGATGGGCATGAGCATGTGCTTGAAGGCTATCACATAGCCAGATGCCCACACCCCTTGGCCACTCTACACACTCGTAAACAGATGCATCATCCAGCCAACTCCCTGGGCAGGGCAGGGCAGAGCAGGGTGAGGCAGCTTCTCCAGGGATCGTACGTGAGGAGGGACGTTATGGCTCTGTCCACCTGTCCTTAGAGCCTATGCCTTTTAAAGTCAGAGCAGATAAGCCACGTCTACGCAGAAAGAGACGGGCTGACGAGAACACCAGCCTCAGGGGACCAACTGTCAAGGCTTGGCCTGCGGCCTAAACAGAGTCTGTTTGTCTGCCTTCTCGCCCTCATCAGCTGTGAATCATACGGCCCACACTTGTGACACTGAACCTAACCTTCCCCAGTTGTCTTCCAAAGCCTGTCCCTGCATTCCTTCCCCCTCTCCCTTTTCTGTGCTCCCTAGGAGCACCTGTCTTTTCTGAAAGAGAGTTCATACAGAGAGCTCTCATTTATCAACGAGAATAACAGCATGCCCATGTAGGGCTCTGTGCTTTAAGAGCTTTGGGTATATTAACTTTGGGTGATACCAGGAAAAAAAAGGGGGGCGGGGACTGGAGAGATGGCTCAGCGGTTAAGAGCACTGACTGCTCTTCCAGAGGACCCAGGTTCAATTCCAGCACCCACATAGCAGTTCACAACTGTCTATAACTCCAGTTCCAGGGGACCCATGGCAGAACACCAGTGCACACAAAATAAAAGTAAATTATAGAGGAAGAAAAGTAAGAGATAAAAGGGATTAAAAAGAAGTCAAAGTATTAAAAAAAAAAAGGACTGAGGAAGAAATAACCCCTCCCCCACTGGGTCTTCTTCCTTGCTGACAGCAATGAGAATGCTGGGAAGTGGGAAGAATCTTTATTCTTCAGAATTCCAGAAATTAACCTAAATCTTACAGCAACGTGGCAAGCCTTTATTCAAGAAAATCAAGAGACTTGAGAGAAACAGTGAATTTTTTTTTTTTTTTTTTTGGTTTGTTTGGTTAGTTGTTTTTTTTCAAGACAGGGTTTCTCTGTGTAGCCCTGGCTGTCCTGGAACTTGTTCTGGAGACCAGGCTGGCCTCAAACTCACAGAGATCTTCCTGCCTTCCCTTCTTGAGAGCTGGGACTAAAGGTGTGCGCCCCCACCGATCATGGAAGCCGTGAGTTTTAGAGGGCTTTGATTTCCTCCCTGCTGCTGTGTTCCTGAAAACGACGACCTCGGTAAAACAAAGCAAAATGCAGAACTGCCTGGCTGACACTAGAGGAGACAGAACAGGGTTGGACCTCTTGCAGAGTCCCTCTCCTGCCATTATCTGAATTTTTTTTATCATTTTGCAAAAGTCCTCCATTGCAAAGCTGTTCCTGGGAGATGAGTTGGTCCCTGTGTGTTAGGACATCTCTGTTAATGGATGGTCACACTAAGAGAACAGAGGCTTCATGCTCAAGAATATAGATGTCACAATATTAGCTCAAACACAGCAGCAGGAGCAAGCCTCAAGGAGAACCAGGCTTCCCAAGCTGCCACGGTGTGTGTATGTTTAAAAACTACAAGCCATTAAGAAGGGTGTGGTGGTGCACAGCTTTGAGCCCACACTGGGGAGACAGAGGCAGGTGAATATCTGCATCTTTGAGGCCAGCCTGATCTTCATAAGGAGTTTCAAAGCAGTCAAGGCTGCATAGTGAGAGCCTGTCTCAAAAGCAGGCAGACAGAAACAAAACAGAAAATAAGGGATGCAGAGAACTGAGATGACATGGATAAGATATGAAGAGGAGAAGCAGAAACTAGAGTAGCTAGAACGGGCCTTTGGGATGTCTAGATGCGGACAAAGACTTTATTACATTTATTTGTTTGTTTGTTTCTGGAGGCGTGTCAGAGGATGACTTGAGGGAGTCGGTTCTCTCTTTCCACCACATGGGTTCTGGAGACCACACTCAGGTCATCAGGTTGCTGGCCAGGACCTGCTAAGTCATCTCACCAGCCCCAGCTAGACAAAGACTTTAAATCAATGGTTTTGAATATATTCTGAATACCGAAAGAAACCATATCTAAATAACGAAAGAGGAGGAAGATGCCTCATGAAACAGATACCAATCAAGAAGCAGAAATTAGTTTTAAAACATCAAATAGAAATCCTTCTGAAAAGGGCAATAATTAAAGTGGAAAGTTCACTAGAGGGACTCGAAGGCCGGTCTGAGCAGGCAAATGAGAAATCCTATGAACTTTTACAAAATACCCCTTGAGATTCTCCAGGCAGAGTAACAGGCAGGAGGAAAAGAACAACGGCTCAGATACGTGTGGGACACCATCATATCCATCATGGGAGTCTCTGGAAGAACAGAGAGAGAGAGAGGAAGAAACACGATTTGGGAAGGAAAATGGCTAAAAGCTTCCCACACCGGATGAAAAACATGAATATACAAATCCATGAGGTTCAATGAATTCTAGGCAGTATAAACTTGGAGCGATCCATACCTGCTAGGTTGGTATGTAGCATGCATGCCTATGAACGATACATTGCTTTATCGCTCTCTGCTCTTGACTGTGGATGTGACCAGCCGTTTCAAATTCCTGCTTTTTCAGATTCCCTATTATAAAGCTGGAACTGTGAGCCAAATCAATTATCATAGCAACAGAAAATGGAATTAAGATTAGGAACTGTCGCAGGTTGCTTCTCTGTTGCTATGATAAAACACTGACCAAAATCAACTCCGGGAGGAAAGCGTTTATTTCAGCTTCCGGTTACCATCTCTCATGGAGGGGAGCCAGGGCTGGAACTCAAGGCAGCGGCACAGAAGCAGGCCCTGAACGGAGGCCATGGAAGAGGGGAGTGCTACTCACTGGCTCGCTCAGCCTGCTTTCTCATACAATCCAAGACCACAGGACCAGGGTGGTCCTACTCCCAGTAGACTGTGCCCTGCCACATCCAACATTAATCAAGAAAATTCTCCTGGAGCCAGAGCGATGCTTCTATGGTTAAGAGCACTTACTGCTCTTGCAGAAGACCCAAGTTTGGTTTCCAACATTTACATGGTGGCTCACAACTGTCTTGAACTACAGTGCCAGAGGCTCCGATGCTCTCTCCTGACCTCTTCTGGTCATGTACATTGCATGTACATAGTACACACACACACACACACACACACACACACACATATATATATATGTATATATATATATATATATACATATATATATGTATATATATATATACTCATGCACACATCCATACACATAAAATAAATATTTTGAAAGAAGATGCCCCCACAGACATGTGCACAGGCCATCTGATGGAAGCAATTTCTCAGTCAAGATTCCCCCTTCCAGCCGGGCGGTGGTGGCGCACACCTTTAATCCCAGCACTCGGGAGGCAGAGCCAGGCAGATCTCTGTGAGTTCGAGGCCAGCCTGGGCTACCAAGTGAGTTCCAGGAAAGGCGCAAAGCTACACAGAGAAACCCTGTCTCGAAAAACAAAAAAAAAAAAAAACAAAAAAAAAAAGATTCCCCCTTCCAGGTGACCCTAGCTTGTGTCAAGTTGGGAAAAACTGACCAGCACAACCACTTATCACATGCACAAGATTCCTTTTATTATTATTATTATTATTTTTTTTTGTGTGTGTGTGTATCCATGTTTTACCT